GCAATGTTGTGTTGTTAAGGAGAATTATTCATCAATGGATGTTGCAGAGATATTTACAACAGAGTGTCAGGTCCACCATCATGTCCTGACATTCTGTTGAAGGAAGGCTTGCTGGCATTTTTTGCATGCTTTCACTTTTGCTGAACTGCTTGGGAATCAGGGAAGGGGGTTGTCTTCAGAGATGGAGCAGACTCCCTCTCAGCTGGTTCCAGCTTGATTCCAAGGCCATCGTGCCCTGAGAGGGACTTGTTATCTGCCAAGCACCTCAGCATTCTCAAAACATCCCTGTGGCATCACATTGGCGAACTGGTCAGGGGGGTTGGATTTTGGGATAATGGAAGAATTGCTTTGTGCTTTGCATGGGACTAAATATTCTGCCTGACTTTACTGCAACCACTTTCTCTCAGTAAAAATTCTTTTGATTCAACTCAATGTAGCAAGCAGTTAAAGCTTTCCTGAAGGAACAGTTGGTGCAGGTCCTTACACAGAGACTTGTGAACTTTGCAAATGAGATGCAATTCTTGGGAAAGTTCCCAATTAAAAAGCTAAGGAAAGGTTACATTATAACAACCAACATTTGACGCTGGACTCAAGAGATAATGACCAGGGTGATTTCTGATAAATACCAAAACATACTTTTAACAGAGTGGTTTGAACTTTAACTTTGCTGTTGTTTAAATTGTTTTTTAAAAAAACATATATGAAATGTATCACAGGTCAATTGGATTGCAAATAGATGTACAAGTTTAGAAATTTTGGACCTGCTTTGCAAGGGGAGGGGGAGTTATTATTGTTGCAATAGATTTGTCAGTATCCAACTAGGGCGATAATATTATGTTTTTGTCCTTTTTTAATTCACCTTTTTTAAAATGGTTTTGTCTGGCTTTGTTTTGTCTCTATTTTTTTTCCTTTGGGATTTTGTATTTTAACCTCTTCAATAAAGGAAAAATTGTAAAAATCAAATAAAATATAGGAAGCCAAGGACTAATCTTCTCTGCTTAAATAAGTTGAGAAATTTTGCATCATATTTCAATAGAATATGTAACACTCCAGCTGTCTCAAATTTTGTTCCATTACAACTCAGCCAATTCAAAATGTCTTTGCAGAAGATTCTGAATTGGGCTGTTTGTTCTTAGCTAGAAAGAAACAACATCATCATCTGTCTGTGCATGCTCCTACAAGCCAGTCCTCTGTGAAAGGTCTAAAAACTATAGCAGAATCATAACTTGTTTATCATTAATATTGTGCTCTAATTTGGCTTATTTGATTTTTGACCTGGAACTATCCATTGTGATTGGTAAACTGGGTTAATTTTCTTGGTAGTGGAACAGAAGGAAACAAATGGATAAATTACCTCCCTTCAGAAGATCTACTTTCTTTTCTGTTTTTTAGTACCCTGCAGTATCACAAGACAACAGCTAGCAGCAAAAAACTTGTTTGTGTTTGGGAATCAAAGAAAAGCTCGGCTTATTCAAAATAATCAGAGTCTGCGGTTTCAGTGTAATGAAGGATATGTGCTTGTGGTTCCATCAATCAGAAAGTGTGTTGACGGTTACATGGATTTGCCTTTATGTATCTCTGGTAAGCATGCTGTCAATATGATGGATTCCTCTGGGATTGTAACTGATTAAAATAATTAATATAACGAACATGAACATTTGCTCCTAAAATTCTATTCTTTTAAAAATGATTTAATCTTCACTGACATCATTCACATCTTGGTTTAGAATTTTAGTAGTTGTAATCTAAAACAAGAAACCTGAAGCACATCAGATTGGGGAAGGATGTTCTGATATTTTCCCAAACTCTTGAACTTCAGCTAAGAACTATGATTCCATGTGGTTGAAGATATGTATAATATTGGTAGACATAGGAATATGTTTCAAAAATTGCAAAGGTTGTATAAAAATAAGTTTATGTCATATCATTAAAGGAGCCCCATATTTTGCATGATGCAAAATCTCTTTTGTTTGAACTTGCTTGGATGAATTAATCATATAGTCATGTTAATATTGATCTGACTGGTATTATTATTTAAATAATAATACCATAGGTTTGGGTGATGAAGGATATTTTATTTTTCTTTGTTTGAAGACATTGAATTTTCAGATTGTTATGATAATTTTTGTAGCCCTACAAAAAATTAGTCCAGAAGATATTTTTTTAAAATTGTCACTTGGTCCCTTCATCGTCATTTATAAGAGTCATGGTGGCGTAGTGGTTACAATGTAGTACTTTAGGCTATTCCTGCTGACTGCCAACTGCCAGCAGTTTGGCAGTTCGATTCTCACCGGCTCAAGGTTGACTCAGCCTTCCATCCTTCTGAGGTCGGTAAAATGAGGAGCCAGATTGTTGGGAGCAATATGCTGACTCTGTAAACTGCTTAGAGATTTTATTTATTTATTTATTATTTGGACTTATATGCTGCCTTATCTCCAAAAGGACTCAGGGCGGCTCACAACAATAAAACACATACAGTCCAATCCTTCCTTTAAAAATACACAATAAAACTATAAAACTATAAAAACCATTAAAATCCCCTCTAAAACCCCTTCAGTCCAAGAGATGTCTGTAAAGCACTGTGAAGCAGTGTGAATAGCACTGTGAGGTGCTATTGTTATTTGTAGGTGGAAGTCTAAATCTTGTGCATTTTCAATCTGATAGAACTATTTCTCCTAAGAAACACATTTATAAAATCATCGGAAAGTGATGTAAATTGAATAAGCAGATAAATTGTTAGCATGTTGTTTAAAACAAGTGAAACAACAAAATATAAAGTTGGAAATATCTACATAAGAGGGCCAGAGCATTACAGATCCTGTAAAAGTAAAAGTTAATTTATTTTTTTCCAATGGAATGAGCAATTATATAATACTGATATTACTATGCAGTTATTTGCACCTCTATCTATGTGTAATAATTAATTTAACTGAATATTATCCTTTACGGTCTTTAATGGAGAATCATTATGTGTCAGTGTTGCAAGGTAGACCCAGACAGGATGAATGATCAGATTAGCTAATTCTAATTTTCTATAGAGTTACATTAATAGAATCCTGCAATCCTAAAGTACATTCCTTCCCCCCTGTGTCCTTTACAGCCCTTGAAACTGGGAGGGTCTCTTCTCAACCACTTGCCCTGTCTGTTCTGGGCAAGGGCTAAATTGCCTTTTATCTGATGGTTCCCTTGGCTGCATTTCTTTTCCTTTTGTCCTGAGATCATTTCTACATACTATTACATCATATATTTCTGTCAAGATCTTGGACAACATAGAGCAAAATTGATGCTCTATGTATCAATATATAGCAAAAAAAAAAGTGGTCATGAACATTTAGGTGCATTTGTGCTCTATTGAGGTGTAGATCAGGGGTGAAATCCTCCCGGTTCGGACCGGCTCGGGTGAGTAGGTAGCGATGGCGGTTGGCAGTTTGGAGAACCGGTAGCAAAAATCCCTGCCCCGCCCCCCATGCCCAGCTGAGCCGCGTGATCATCAGAGCCTTTTTTTCCCCTTTAAATGGCTCTGACGAGCCAAGCTCTGATGATCCCAGCTGAGTTGCCTGCTAACCGGTAGCAAAAATCCCTCCCCCTCCCCCTCCCCAGCCTCCAGCTTGCTTACCTTAGCTGCTGGTCGCAACGCCTGCCTTGCTTCGCTTGCTGTAATACCTACCATCCATTGCATCAGCAAGCAACTGAATCTCCCTGCCTGCAATCAAGCTCATCGGTGAGTAGCTCTATCTGCCTGCCTGCCTTCCTGCTTAGACTTGTGGACTTCAACTCCCAGCAAAGCTGGCTGAGGATTCTGGGAGTTGAAGTCTACAAGTCTTAAAGTTGCCAAGGTTGGAGACCCCTGTTCTATTGGATAAGTTTTTTCCCCTTTGGGAGCTTTAAAAAAAATAGTTAATTGCGGGTTTTTTTTAGTTGTTCTTTTTTTAGACCTAGCCATTTAAAGTTTAGGAAGTTTTAAATTTAGCTGCTTTTATATAAAAATAAAAATAAATTAAAATAAAATAATATTTGTGCAGCTTTCTGAGATTTAGTGTGTTTCTGTAGTGTTTCACTCTAACTACACAAACAAAACTGTATGTGGAATTTTGTGTGTGTAAAGTGTGAAAGTTGGTTTTTTGGGCTTTTTGTGGCTGTGTGAGGTTCCTGCTTGTTGCAGGGGCCATTTTGGGTCTGGCACACATGCTTTTACATTGTGGGTGAGCAGTTGTGTTGTGTTGTGTTTTGTAGGTTAAAAAAGGGCAAAGAAGTGACATTGACTTGGCCACGCCCACCCAATCACCTTACCATCAAGCCCCGCCCACTAATTAAGCCATACCCACAGAACCTGTAGCAAAATTTTTTAGATTTCACCCCTGGTGTAGATTGTGTTTTTATTCTGAATTTCACAATACTTAAGTAAGTAATAACTTATGAAAAATTAAAAATAATAATAATTTTAAACCATTTTTTTTGTAATTGTTATTTTAAGGAATGTCAGCAACTCCAGCTAACATTTCCTGGCCTATTTTTTTTTTCTATTTAATAGAGAGAGGAAAAAACTGCAGTGGTCCACCCAGGACTGAGAACGGAGACATTATTACTTTATCTAAGAAGCAGTACAGATCTGGCTCTTCAGTAGAATTCAGATGCCAAACATATTATGCCATGGAGGGCCAGAACAGATCTTTTTGTAACAATGGGACCTGGACAAAGGTGCCCAATTGCCTTGGTAAGTAGAAAAGAAAATCTTCATTCAATTTCCATAAGCATTTCTAATCATTAAAATTCACTGCCTTCTTTCTCTCTTGCTTAAAAATCATCTAATTGGGCTTGCCTGAATCAGCTCTTCTTTATATTTGATTTCATTTCTGTATCTGAGGTGAAGTAGCTAGTAGATGAAAACTAAATTCTACTATTAACATTTTGCAATGATAATATGATGCATTTGGATCCTGACAGGATTTCCTTTCTTTCTCATGTCAGATCCCTGTATGATCCCCAGGACTGAACTGGAAAGCCAGAAGATAGAAGTTAAAGATGAAATCGATGCACCTGAAAATATATTTGTGCAACATGGTCATTCTATTGAGCTCACCTGTAGAACAGGATATGTCCTGGCAGCAAATTCTTCCCAATCGGCTTTTGTCATCCATTGTAACGGGACACCACCAGTGATTCCTAAATGCAAAGGTGACTTTAAAAAGTTTAATTTTATAATCCTGCTATCACCAATCCACAGCCAAAGCACTTCAGTTTGAGCCTATTTATCATTAGAACTGGAATAAACCACAATCATTTACATATGAAAAAGAGCCTTGGTGGCGCAGCAGACTAAAGTGCTATTAAGTAGCACCAGCTGCCTGCAATTACTACAAGTTCGAATCTCACCAGGCTCAAAGTTGGAGCCTGAATCTCACCAGGCTCACCAGCCTTCCATCCTTTCGAGGTAGGTAAAATGAGGACCTGGATTGTGGGGGCAATAAACTGACTTTGTATAAAAAAAGAACACCGCTTAGGGGCCCCCGAAAGCCCTACTAAGCAGGTATATACGAAAGTATGAAGGCTATTGCTTAACGCATTGTAAGCCGCCCTGAAGGGCGGCATATAAATTGAACCAATAAATAAACAATAAATAAATATGTCCTTTAGTGGGGCAGATATTTTTATCTCTCTGAAACCTCCCTGGACTGCACTTTTCTATTCTGCAAGGGCCCAATGGAAACTCTTGGGATGCAGTTGAAATAGGAGAAACCTGAAAGACTGCAGATTGCTGGAGAGGGAGTAGTGCAATGAAAAACATACCTATGGCCATTTCATGGCTTAATTATTGCAATAACTGCCACATTGTACCCTTGAGAATTGTTCATCAATGTAAGGTAATATATGCACATAGCAATATTTTTATATCATTGAATGGTACAGTAATTTGTTTTGCTGCAGTAAACTCCATACCTGATTTACTACATATTTCTGTTTTTAAGGAAGAATGTAGGAACTTTTTAATTACTGCTAGAGAACATTGCTTTGCATTTGATCTTGGGACTAGTAGAGTAGTGAATGTCTAATGAGGGACATTTCACAATTTTAGCAGTTCCACCTTTCCCAGAACCAGCAGTTCCACCACAGGTATCAGAAGAACTTCATGGAGATGTTGGTTTGTTTATGAATTCATGCCATTTCTGTACCATGATTATCCTTGTGGATTCCAGGAAGTTTACAGATATTAAAATAAGCAATAAAATAATACAAAATTCAATAATATGACTAAAATCAAATCATAAGAAAAATGCACTCATATAGACAAAACTGCCTGTGGTTCTACTGGCTTCAAGAAGATCAAGAGAGCGGCTGTCATACTCAATTTAGGGCAGCTGTTTCCAAGGAGGGGAGCTGCAAAGAGAAGATATGATATTACTCCCTGACTAACCTGAAAGCTGGAGACTCTTAGTAAATGTTGTCTTGCCATCCACGTTAGACAAACTATGGTTATTTGTGTTGTGTATGTATCTATTTTGTGCGGGAAATTCAAATGCATAGTGAATCCTGATTGGTTCTTGGTCACCTCTGGAAAGTATATAAAGAGGGCTGTTGCCTGTGAGTTTTGCTGAAGTCTCACCCTGAATTAAAGAGCTGTTGTTACTAGTCTGCTTGTGCCTCTCGTTATTCCCGCGCTACAACATTGGCGACGAGGATGGGATAGAGGCCACAAGAGGCAAATCAAAAAGAGCTTGGAGTTTCAGCCAGGGTGACTGGCGAACACAGAGACGCGGCATGTCTGCCTACGTTCTGCCAAAACCTTTCGACCCGACCCGAGAGAAGTGGGGATCGTATCTGACAAGGTTCGAGTGCTCCTTGGAAGCGAGCGAAATGCAAGGGCTCTCCGCAAACAGAAAACGGGCTCTGTTCTTAAGCCACTGCAGGCCAGACGTATTTGAGATGGCAGAATCTCTCTGCGAGCCAACCCCAGTCCAGACGGTCCCCTGGGACGTCCTTCAAGCCAACCTGAAGGCTCACTATGCCCCAGTTCCGTCCAAATTCGTTCAGCACTACGAACTCCGGCAAAGAGTTCAAAAAGAAGGAGAGCCGGTCAGTGCTTATGTGGCCGTGCTACAAAAAGCCGCTACGCATTGTGACTACAGAGATTTAGACAATGCATTGCTTGAACAACTGATTTGCGGGGTTCGTGATACCCGGTTACAAAGGCGTCTTCTAGCCAAGCCAGACCTAACGCTAGCTGGTGCGCTAGACGAAGCCCGAGCACACGAGACATCAACGAAGGCATCGGAAGCACTGCAGTGTCCCAATTCAAGCAAGGACGGGCCGAAAACAGCCACAGTCCACAGAGAAGAGGTGCAAACCAGCACAGAGGAAGAGTCGGACGAGGAAGTCTTCCATACAGAAAAATGGTCAAGTGAACAAAGCTGCCGCCACGAGAACTGCCCCAGCTGTGGCGGGGATCACAAGAGACAGTCGTGTAAATATAGAGAGGCCATCTGCAGGCGTTGCGATAGAAAAGGCCATCTAGCACGAGTTTGCAGAGCTCAACTTCCGCATAGTCGAAAACCACGTGACTACCACAACCAACCAGAATCGGCTTGTTCCAATCAAAGATGACGGCGCGAGAAAACGGTGCGAACCTCAAAAGCGGGAAACCTACAGCACGACAATCGGCCAAGCCAGCACACCCGATGATGAGAAAGTCTACACGAAAGTAGAAATCGATGGCAAATTGTGCGAAATGGAGATCGACACCATGTCTACGCTATCGATCATGTCCTGGTCAACACTCAAGGCACTCCTGCCCAAGCTTCAGAAAAGACAGCTATCCCGACAGAAAATCCGCCTACTCGACTACCAGGGAAACCGAGTCCCCGTTGAAGGAGTGGGCACGTTCCAGGTCACCTACGGCGATTTTCAGAAAGAGCTACCTCTGACCGTGGTCAGCAAGCCCCTTCCGAGTCTACTGGGCATGAAATGGTTCCGAGCCCTTGGCATGGGCTTCACGGGCGTCCACAACATCAACGGATCATCACTGAAAGAAACACTGCTTCACAAGTTTTGGGACGTTTTCGAAGAGACTCTAGGCAAGTACGTGGGGACCCCTATTTCTTTCAATTTAGATCCCAACGTAGCGCCAATTAGACTGAAGGCGAGGCGAGATCCCTTTGTCTTAAAACCCAAGATCAATGCGGAGCTCGACAAGCTCATTAAACAAGGGGTGCTAGTTCCTGTAGATCACGCTAAGTGGGAAACCCCAATAGTTACTCCAGTTAAAGCAGATGGCTCAATTAGAATTTGCGCTGACTGTAAGTGTTCGATTAACAAGGTGTTGCAGCAGAGCGCCTATCCGGTTCCTATAGTCCACCATCTTCTACACTCCCTGGGCCCTGGCAAGCTGTTCGCGAAGCTAGACCTTGCGCAGGCGTACCAGCAACTGCCAGTAGATGACGCTACGCAGAATCACAGACTATAGTAACCCACAGAGGTGCCTTTAAATGCACCAGGCTTCAGTTTGGGGTCAGCATCGCCCCAGGACTTTTTCAGAGTACCATGGAGCGCCTTCTACAAGGCCTCCCAGGCGTCGTTCCGTATTTCGACGACATTTTGATTAGTGGCCAAGACGAAGTGCAGTTGGGCCAAAGGGTTAGATAAGTCCTAACCAGATTCAGAGAAGCGGGACTTAAGCTTAAATGGAATAAATGCAGAATTGCAGTGCCATCAGTGGAATTCTTAGGCTACAGAATCGACGGCTCAGGCATTCACCCCACAGAGAGCAAAATGAGGGTCATCCAAGGCACGCCCACCCCCAAGTCAAAAGCTGAGCTGCAGGCCTTCTTGGGCCTACTCAATTTCTATACGATGTTTTTGAAACAAAAGGCCACCGTTGCGGAGCCTCTGCACAGGCTCCTCGGAAAAAACGTTCCTTGGGTTTGGGGCAAGTGAGAAGCGACCGCTTTCAACGCAGTAAAAAGACTTTTATCCGAGGACAGTTTCCTCATTCAGTACAATGCTGAACTATCTCGTGTTAGTCTGTGATGCTTCCTCCTTTGGCGTTGGCGCAGTTTTAGGCCATAGACTGCCGAATGGGTTAGAGGCGCCCATTGCTTATTACTCTTGCACTCTGTCTAATGCTGAACGGAACTATAGTCAGCTAGATAGGGAGGCACTAGCGGCTGTAGCGGGGGGTCAAAAAATTTCACGAGTACTTGTTTGGCCGCACTTTTGAACTCATTACAGACCACCAGCCGCTTTTGGGACTCTTGGCTGGTGACAAACCGACCCCGGCGGCCCTCTCCCCCTGGATGACCAGATGGTCTATATTTTTGGCCGCATATTCGTACAAACTGCTTCACCGACCTGGCAAAACCTTAGGACATGCTGACGCCCTCAGCCGATGTCCTCTACCGGTTCTATTGGACAACCCGACCCCGGAAGCCCCGGTTTTGCTGCTGGACGTTGTTTCCCCAGGCCCCATTTCTTCAAATGAGGTGGCGAGGGCTTCTGCCCGAGATGCTGTTTTGCGCATAGTAATGGGCTGGGTAACGAGGGGTTGGCCCACCAAGGTGGATGGTGGTGATTTCCAATTGTATTTCAACAAGAAAAATGAACTGTCAATGTTCGGGGGATGCTTGTTGTGGGGTGACAGGGTGGTCCTTCGCGATTAAGGCACAGGGTCCTAGAAATGTTGCACGAGGGTCACCCTGGGGTTGTTCGCATGAAAGGCCTAGCTCGTAGCTATGTTTGGTGGCCGCATCTCGACCAAGATGTCACTGAGTGGGTAGGGAAGTGTAGGCCCTGCCAGGAATCCTGCCCAGATCCCCCCATTGCGCCCGTTCGAGAGTGGGAGAAACCAAAAGGACCGTGGGGGAGGATTCACATAGATTTTGCTGGCCCGTTCCATGGCCAGAACTTTTTAATAATAGTAGATGCATTTTCTAAGTGGCTCAAAATTGCCCTAATGCCATCGACCACTTCTGAGGCCATAATCAAAGTACTCAGAAAACTTCTCGCAACACACGGATTGCCGGACACACTGGTGTCCGACAATGGGCCCCAATTTACGGCAACTCAATTCGAAGGCTACCTAGCCGAACTAGGCATTAGACATGCACTATCCGTTCCTTTTCATCTGGCTTCTAATGGCCTTGTTGAACGATTTGTAAGAACGGCCAAAGAAGCCCTCTCCCGACTCGATGCTGGGGACTGGCAGGCTAGAATAGACGAGTTTCTAGCAGTACAACATGCCACCCCGTGTCCGACTTCGGGCCGCAGCCCGGCCGAACTTTTAATGGGCCGAAAGCTTCGATGCGTTCTAGACAGACTGCATCCTAACTACTCCTTTGATAGTTTCACCGGGGAAGGGGGAGGACTAAGACACGTTGAAGAAGGTTCACTAGTCTTTGCTAGAAGCTACACTAATGGGCCACTATGGGTAGAAGGAACCATCGTAGGAATTACTGGTCCAAAGTCATACACAGTAGATATTGGGCATGGTAAAATCTGGAGGAGACATGTAGATCAATTACGAAAACGTCTACCCAACGAAACACCATGTCCTAACTACCCAAGTCTCTCCGACACAGCTACCTCAAGCCCGAGTAAGCCAGAATGCTTATCTGGCAACCCTGAGTTCCAGCGCTGCCCCAGCGAGCCGACACTCCCAGCCGGAGATCGCCACACCTCCGGAGAAATCCAGGAGGTTCCATTGGCGGAGCCGGGAGAGATGGGAGGTCCCTCCGACCGGCTCAACGCCTTGCCAACAACTGAACTGCGCAGGTCAACCAGGATTAAGACACGCCCTGGTCACCTGCGTGATTTTGTATGTAAATATGTAAATAGATAGAATAAGTGCCTTCTGGGAAGGGAGGGGTGTTGTGTATGTATCTATTTTGTGCGGGAAATTCAAATGCATAGTGAATCCTGATTGGTTCTTGGTCACCTCTGGAAAGTATATAAAGAGGGCTGTTGCCTGTGAGTTTTGCTGAAGTCTCACCCTGAATTAAAGAGCTGTTGTTACTAGTCTGCTTGTGCCTCTCGTTATTCCCGCGCTACAACAATTTGGAAAATTCAGTGTCATACTTGTCATACGCTTGAGCTATAACCAACTTTAAAAGTTATGTCCAGCACTTTGGATTGCATTCAGAAGTACATTGGTAGCCAATGCAGCTCCTGCAGCTGTGATGTAACAAAGCAGAACTAAACGTATACATTGAGCATACAGGATATTGAATTCCAGACCAACTGATGTTTTGATGGTATCCCCAGGGCAATTTCAGGAAGAGCTAATTAATTGTTTAATTACATGCTAAGAAGTTGATATCAACTCTCAGCAATCACAAAGATTGATTTTCTCCAGGAAATCTGCCCCAATCTTCAAATCTTCTAGCAATGCATCCATTGCCACAGTAACTGAATTGTTGTTGGTGATACTCTACCTCAGAGTTATCATTATAGATAGAGGGCCGCTTCTAATTCTGAACAGAATTTGAACATAAATGGGACTAGGAACAAGCCCTGCGGGCTCCATCACAGCCTTTGAAAGCCTGACCTCTTTCCCTTGTCGCCATGATCATCGACAACCTCAGGCAGAAGTGGAACCACTGCAATGTGCAGCTCCTAATTTTACAACCTTGCAGGTGGTTGAAAATGCTAGTGGGATTGACAACAGGACTGAATAGCAAGAAGAGGGGTATCAAATTGTAGCTTTATGTTTCAACTCAAAGCAAAGTAAAGAATAATTATAGGAACTGGCTGAATTTATTTATGATGTTCCAAATAAATAATAGCCAAGAGCTACTAAAAGTAATAAAAGCTCCATTACAAAGAATTTGAAGGCCTGACCTCTTTTCCCTGTCACCATTAACTGAAACTGTAACCTCAGACAGGAGAGGAACTACTACAATGTGGAGCCCCTGATTTGTAACCTTGCAGGTGGCTGAAAATCCTACCAGGCTCAACAGTGGGACTAAAAAGTAAGAATGATGGTATCAAGTATGGGGGTATAGGGGTATCAAATTGTAGCTTTTTATTTCAATTGGAAACCAAAGTGAAGGAGGAGAATAATTACAACAACTTCCTGAATTTATTTATGATCTTTCAAATAAATACAAAGCTACTAAAAGCACTTTTAATCAAGATGACTAATTTCACAGTATATTTTAGAACCTAACTGGCAGTTTTAAATTAATTGTGCCCATCAGTAGGTATGTCTATTGATTAATATGTTCTTGTGGTGCTATATAGATATTTAAAATAGTAATATTGTTTTCTGTCCTTATAGAAATCAATGCTTAGAATCTGATATGAGTGCACGTTTTCCTTTTTTCATATAATATATGATTTATTTTCTCTAGAAATTACATGCAACTCTCCAAGAATATCTAATGGTACTTTCCGACCTCAAAGAACTATATATCATGATGGGGATCTAATTCGAATTCAGTGTGACAGTGGATTTACTTTTGATCCAGATAATGGAGAAAAGGTGGTTGAATGCACAAAGAATGGATGGTCACCTCCACCAAAATGTATCAGTAAGTAGAACTAGTGTACATTACTATGATTGTAGAATGGCTGATATATTTAACTCTGTACAAGAGTACTTTTTAATACTATTTTACATGATTTTCCAGTTTTCTGCTAAAGGGACATATTTCATCCAGAGCATTTTAACAGTATTTACATATATATAATGTATTTTTCAGAGTATAAGACGCACCTTTTTACCCCCCAAAAGAGGGTGAAAATCTGGGTGTGTCTTATAGTCCGAATCAGAGGTGGGTTTCAGCAGGTTCTGACCAGAGAACAGTTCTGGAGAATTGGTCATAGCGAAAATTTTGAGTAGTTCGAAGAACCAGTGGTAAAAATTCTGACTGGCCCCGCCTCCATCTATTCTCTGCTTCCCAAATCCCAGCTGATCGGGAGGAAGTGGGGATTTTGTAGTAACCTTCCCCTGGATTGGGGGCGGAATGGAGATTTTACAGTATACTTCCCCTGCCATGCCTACCAAGCCATGCCCACCAAGCCATGCCATGCCAACCAAGCCATACCCACAGAATTGGTAGTAAAACATTTGAAACCCACCATCGGTCCGAATGTAGCTCTGTCCACCCACCTTCGGATATTTATGGGCTCTGTGTGTCGCATTTTTACGTGGTTCCAGGTGGCAGGGATCTGGGTCAGGGCACAGCCTGAGGAACGACCCTCTTTGGGATGGCTTGGGGGGGGGGCATCTGCCTGGCAGCTTTGGCAAACAAGACGGGCCCCATGGTTCGCAGCTGGTCCACCCTCTGGCTGCCCAGTGGACAGCTCAGAGCAAACAATGGCCGTGATGACTTCACTCCCCAGCAATGTAAGGAGAGCTGAGCCCTCTCTGTGCCTGGGAGCCGAGCTGAGCAGGAGCCCCTAAAGCGAAATGTCCCTCCTTTCCAGCCACCGCCACCCGTTGGCCCAATTCCCCAATGCAATTCACAGAGCCATGTTTCAGGAGGCAGCTGGTTCCCCTGCAATGTGCATCAGGGAACAGGGAATCATTTTTGGATTCGGGGACGGAATTGCAACACTGCCACCTGAAAATGCTTTTCTCCCAAATGCACATTGCAGAGCTGTGGTCTGTGTCCTCCTCCTTCTCAGCAGACTCACCTTCTCTTTCCTCCTGGCCAGATCCATTGCCTGAAACGTGATGCACTTTTTTTGCTTCCACGTTTTTGGAATCAGGAAGGAAAGCATTTTTGAGTGGCAGACTCGTGATCCCCTTTCTGATTCCAAAAATGGGGTGTGGAATATGGTGGGCCCTACAATCTGAGCCTAGGCCGCCTCCTCCTCCTCCTCCTCCTCCTCCTCCTCTTATTATTATTACTATTATTATTATTATTATAGATAAAAAAGAGCAACATGTTCAAAATCCATATATACAATATATTCTCTGGTTACAGTTCTTTACAGTAATATTCATCATAATCATAATAGTATTTTCTAATGGTAGTTTCATAATAACAGTTTTTTTCCTCATAACATTAATACATACTAATTAGTAATACTAATAAAAAATAATCAAAATTAATAAATTACAGTAAACAACCATAATAGTGAATATTAAAGGCTTCAGCTTCTTCACAGCTGTTCTGGAGGTGGGGAGGTAGTCTTTTTCCACTCCCTCCCCTCTCTCTTTGCCAAGTTTCTCAAGTAAAATAGTTTTAAAAGTTCAGGAGTTAAATATATAAAGGAATCTTGTTTCCAAGAGCACAGTTTCTCACCCAGATGATCACCTCGTTCTTTTTTCCTTCTCTTCTTGTGTTTGGCCACCTGGCTTTTGACAGCTCCTAATGACTGTCTTCCCTTGCTGTTGGGTCGGAGGCTGATGCAGACACTTCAGGGACTTGCGACTTTCCTGTTTGTGCCTGTCTGTGCCTCCATTCTTCACTGTCCCTACAGGACAGCTATGATCCCTGGGGATCTCCTAAAGCAGCTGAGATATCAGCATTTTCCAGGAGCCCCGGAATTTGCTGTACCGCTGCTGGCACTGGCCACACCCCCTCTGATGTGAGGACCCAGCGTGTTGGGGGCAATATGTTGACTCCATAATCTGCTTAGAGAGGACTGTAAAGCACTATGAAGCAATATATAAGTCTAAGCGCTATTATTATTGCTATTTAATTTGTGCCTTGCACATCAATATGACATTTACGGTCAGATACAATATGCAAGAATTTCACTCAAAACCACTTACAACTCAAATGGGAGTTAAAACATATTTATTTTGGTTCCCCTGCTTTTCAATTCTATATCAATGGTATAGTGAGGTGTCCAAATGATATTTCCATCCCCCTAAACTAGGAGATTACAGTACTGCCCTGCTGCTCTATACAGATGATGCTATAGTTCTTTCCAGAATAGCAATACACCTCAAAAGTGTTCTGGGAAATCTAGTCTAATATTTTGGTCATTTCTGTTTCAGTCTGAAATTGTATGCTTCACTATTGACCCATCATTTCTATTCGAAGGTCTTTGTATTTTGTGATTTTCTCTAGTTCTTTCTCTTCTTTTCTTCTGTCAGAAGAGAACCAGCCAAAGTTCTTTGTCTTTCTTACCAACAATTGTTAAGTGTGGGTGTTATATAGCAGGTCTTGTCTGTTTGAATTCTAAAGTCCCAGAGAAGTTTAGCTTCTTCTTCTATTTTGTGATGCCACCAGTTCTTGTTTGCGGGCAAGTAGTATATCTTGCAGATCTTCCAATGCATCATTATGGGTACTTTGTCATAACTTTGCTGTAATCCATTTGTGCAATCTTCTTGCAGCATATAACTAGGTGATTCGCTGTTTCTTCAGCTTTTTGCCAAGCCAGCACTTGCTGTGTGATGCTGTCTTTGTTTGTATTTGTTCTTATTATTATTAGTATGGTTTACTGCTGTCTACCAGGTATTTGGCATTTTTATCCACCTAATCCTTATTTTTTGCAGTTGTATTTGTTATTATAGCAGTAGTAATAGTGCTGTTAGTTATATATTTAAGTATCAGTAAGCAATTGAAAATTTCACAAAGGATTGATGTTGGGGACCCTTTCTTTAGACATATTAGCCTTCCTCAGACAAATTTCTTCTCGGCTTGATATAGCTTTGCCTGCCTTCCTATCTTAGGGCAATTGCTTGATTGCTACTGCTTCAATCACTTATCTTCCAGGTGATATTGTTCTCTGACATCTTCCCCATATACTTTTTTTTTTTTTTTGTAAAAATTTTTTCTTTATTCTTTACACATACACACACACAAACATACAATGTATTTTTGTTGATCAGAGTATTTGGCCGGTTAACAAATTAAAACAATTTTCAATTTTTACAACTAAGATTACCGTTTCTATACCTCCTTTTTGCCATAGTGTTCACTTTCATCTATTTTTTTCCAATTTTACCCTTCATTTTCATCTCTAATTTTAACCAAATTTCAATTTCCCTTCTATTCTATATTAAACCCCAATCCATCATCAGAATAATTAATTTTGTGATGTTACAATTGTTCAATTCTTACAAGAATAGTGAGCCCACTTATTTTATGACTTACATTTTCTTAAGTAATACGGTCCAATATTTTAATATAATCGGTTACTTCTATAAGTATCTTTCTATTTATATATTCAAACACTTAATGAAAAAGAAAAAAGAAAAACAAATATAGGCATGGCTGTTTCAATTAGTTCCATTTTCATACATCAAATAATTTCCCCATATGTTCCTCCAAACCACATCTTAATCATTTCTACTTCATCACAATATATCATTAAAACTATTTCATCTATTACAATTTCCTTAATTAAATTTTAAAAATATTCTGACTGTTATCCTCTACTTGCTTCCCCTATGAATTATTTCAAATCCTCACTTAATCATTTTTATACACACCACCATAAACTATTAACAGTATTTCAATTATTACATTTTAAACTTATTCATATTTCTCAAAAAAGAAAAAAAACTCATCATTATCTAGATTTCAAAAATATAAATGATAATATTCCAATTATTATACAGTTCATTTTCACCATCATATACTTTACCATTATTACTTGCTACAATTCACATTTCAGTTCTAAATGTATACCACAAATTCCTCTTTCATTTCCTTCTCCTTTTCTCCCTTTTCAATTTTATTTTTACCTTTTTCTTTCCCCTTCTTTCCTGCATTTTAAAATCCTGATCTCTCCTATTTTGCCCTATGTTGCCTATTGTTCCCTCTCTCTTTTTTCTTTTTTTTAATTTCACCACTGTTTAGCCCGCTGTTTAACCCAATATTGTCATTCTGTATATCAAAGTTCTGAATTCTTCTCTTCTGCCCTATATTTCCTCTTTCTTTCTCTCTCTCTCTTTTATCTTATACATCCAACAAACATTAAATCTATAGCTGTCTACATCACAACGCAAGAAGGGAATAAAATTATCCCATTACATATATAGGGTCACCTACAAAAGTCTATTACATATACCAAGTGACATGCTTATCAAACACCTCTATTTACAGCTCGATTTGACATCCAATTATACCATTGATTCCAAGATATATAGTAATCTGTGTCCCCTCGTCCTTTCAGTATCATAGTAAGCCAATCTGATTCTGCACAATTCATTATTTTCTGAATTACTACTTGTTCGGGTGGAATAACATCCATCTTCCAGTATTGGGCCCATGCCAATCTTGCAGCTGTTGTTATATGTAGCAGCAGGTACCATGTCATTCTATTAACATTTTCGGGTCTTATCCCTAATAAAAATACCTCAGGACGCAATTGTATATGCTGCCCCAACATCTCATTTAGCCACTTCTGAATATTCTTCCAAAATTTCATTGCCTCTCGACAGGTCCATCATTGGTGGAAATATGTACCTTCTTTAACGCCACATTTCCAACAGACTGAGGGTGTTCCAGGGAACATTTTGGCGAGTCTGGCCGGCGGTAAATACCATTGATACGCCATTTTATATATATTTTCTTTTTATCCTATTGACCGGGTTAGTTTAATATTCTTAGTCCAGATTTCATTCCACCTCTCAGGCTCTATTGAATAACCTAGATTCTTCTCCCAGGCATGAACCGACGTCTTCGCACCTTCCTCACCTACCTCCATAGCCATAAAGAATTTAAAGCATCTAGATAACACCTTTTCATCCACCCCCAATAGTATCCTATCTAGAATCTGCACCTCTCGACTAATCCCAAGTCTCTGTCTATCTCTCATATACTTACTACTAATTTGCATGTACGTCCACCAGTCTAGGTTCACTCCTTGTTCCTGAAGTGACAATTTTGTTTTTAACTTCCCATTCATATCTAATATTTCTTTGTAGGTCAATTTTTTCTCTGGATTATACAGAATCGGATAGATCACAGCTTCCACAGGTGAAACCCAGAGTGGTACCTTATTATAATATATTTTCCTAATTTCCGTCCAACTCTCAATCAGGACTCCTTGCATGTGATGTTTCGTAAAATATGCTGGGGTTTTGCCTCTTTCCCACCATAGGTGGGCATGCCACCCCTGTTGGAGATCATGACCTTCGATTGCTAACAGACGTCTCCCTTGTAGTGTAATCCATTCACGGATCCAAACCAAAACTGCCGAATTATAATAACACTTCCAATTTGGGACCCCCAACCCGCCTTGTTCTTTCGGTTTCTGCATCATTTTCAACTGAATTTGAGGCTTCTTGCCCTGCCAAATAAATCTATTTGTGGCCCTGTCCAAGTTCCTAAAAAAGGTTTTATCCAGTCTAATTGGGGCCATTTGAAAGAGAAATACCATTCTGGGCACTACGTGGGTCTTAATTAAGGCTATCCATCCCCTTAATGACAATTGTATCTTGCCCCATCTCTCCAAATCTTTGTCTAGTTGCTCAGTTAATTTTAAATAGTTATCCACCTTTATTGAGGAGCATCTATCAGACAGCCAAATCCCTAAATATTTAACTTTACAAACTACCTGGAGGCCCAAAGTGTTTTGTAGTTCTAATTTTTGTATTTCCGTCATGTTTTTAACTATGATCTCTGTTTTTTTTCCTATTTATTTGTAATCCAGCCACTTCACCAAATTTCTGTATTATGTCAATAAGTCGCCCACCAGAGGTTAGTGGCTCTTCCAGAACAAAGACCAGATCATCCGCAAACACCTGGACCTTGTATTCTTGTTCTCTGATCTTTAATCCTCTTATGCTCACCTCTTGTCTTATTGACCTAAGTAAAGGTTCTAGCATGAATATAAACAACAATGGGGAGAGTGGGCAGCCTTGTCTCGTTCCCTTCGCTATCATCACCTCCTCCGACTCTTCTCTATTGACCAAAGTCTTAGCCTTCTGTTGATTATAAATTGCTTGGATTGCATTCAGGAAATGATCGCCAGCCTCCATATATTTCAATTGTGATATAAGATAATTCCAATTGACCCTATAGAAGGCTTTCTGGGCATCCAAAAAGAGGAACGCCACCTGCTTCTCAGGGTGGGCCTCATAATATTCCAGGGTATCCATTATGATCTGTACATTATCTTTCAACTGTCTGGCCGGTAGAAAACCATTTTGATCTATATGGATGAATTCACTAAGGTATCTCTTAAATCTAGCTGCCATTAAAGTTGCAAAAATTTTTATAGTCGGCGTTTAAAAGTGAGATGGGCCTATAATTATGTATCAAAGTATAGTCCATCCCTTCCTTTGGTATTAAAGAAATATAGGCCTCTAGCCATGATTTGGGAGCCTTAGACTCCATCAATACCATATTAAAAATTTCCTTCATATATTTTATATACAGATCTGTAAAAGTTTTATAAATCTCCGCAGGCAAGCCATCAGTACCAGGGGTTTTACCAGCCTTCTGCCTCTTGATCGCAATCTCTATCTCTCCTTCCATAATCTCCTTATTCAACAGGTCCTTGACTGAATCTGGAAATTTGGGAAGGTCCGAATGTTGCAAGTATATCTTAATTTTCTCATCCGGCACCTGCTCATTAGCATCGAGTTGTGAAAAGAATTCCTGTGCGATCCCTTTTTTACATTCATTATCTACCCATATGACTCCCGTCTTGTCCTGTAATTGATCTATCCACCTACTTTCCCTTTCCTTCTGTAGTTTATAAGTAAGCCACTGGCCTGCCCTATTGGCATGTTCAAAGTGGTGCTGTCTGGCCATTCTAAGATTATGTGCTATTTCCTCCTGGTCTAGTAGTATAAATTGATGTTTACTTGTGTCTACTACTTCCTTAGTTTTGACATCTAGTGGGTTAATCTGTAAATTCCTCTCTGCAGTCCGCAACTTCACTGTCCACATTTCCCTCTCCTTAAATTTCTTTCTTTTATTCCTGGCTATATATTTAATCGCTAACCCTCTCATATAGGCTTTTGCCGTACCCCACAAAATCTGTATCGAGGTTTTCTTATTATTGTTGACCCTAAAGAAAGCTTCCATTTCTCTCTTTATAGCTTATATGGCAGTATGATTTATTTTATATAATTAAAGGGCAAATTAGATGCCTTAAATTTGTATAAGAAAGACAACCATGAATCTGCCTAACCAGATACATTTATTTCCTGCCTCAATCTGCCTATGGATTTTCCAATTTATTGTATACAGCTTTTCTTTGCAGCCTCTTAGCCCATTTATTCATGATTTTGAAAAGAGGCAATCTTTCTCTGGCTCCACTGGTTTCCCAGGCATTTTACAAAGAGTTCACATTTTATAAACTGAAGAATTCACATTTTATATTTCCTTTTAGCAGTTGAACACACTTGTACGAAGATTTCTCTATCCCATGGAAATTTTGGATCGCAGCAACAGAGTTTTCAGATCAATGCTAAAGCAAAATATATTTGTCATGATGGCTATACAACGTCAAAAGGAGAGACTGAGGCAGAGACACAGTGCCTTACAGAGGGCTGGAACCCAGAGCCAGAATGTATCAATAAGTAAATACAATTCCATTGGAAGATAGGTTGAAACTGACTGGCATAGACAAAGACATGGAATCTTATTCAGTGAAGAATAGCCTGATATCATAACAATTTATTTATTTTATTTATTTATTTTGTCAAGCATGTATTGGATAACAGATATAAGTAGAAACATAATTATGAATACACAAGATAGATACAAATAAAAGGGAACATTAGGACAGGGATGATAGGCATGCTGGTGCGCTTATGCACGCCCCTTACAGAACTCTTAGGAATGGGGTGAGGTCGACAGTAGACAGTCTAAGGTTAAAGTTTTGGAGGCTTGGGGAAGAAACCACAGAGTCAGGTAGTGAATTCCAGTATATATCTTGATGTATCAGAATATATCAGAACTCTTGATTATTTAGTATCGTGGGATTCAGCAGACCAATCAAAAGGTTGCTGTATGAATGAACCTAATCCCCCTGGAATTAGGAAGTGTGGAAAACCACACTTGTACAAGTTTCATCAAAAGCAATACCTGTATGCATCAGCTGAGCTGTTCCTAGGAAGGGATTTGCTGCCTATATACCATTCTACTGTAATTATTCACCGCTACTAATCACTAATTAGCAGCGGCAAAACATTTCAAAAAGAAAGAGCTACACTTTTAAACTAGAGTGCAGGAGAACATAAGAAAACAGCTAATCATGAGAGACAGATCGAGTGGGAAGAACCTTAGAGGTTTAATTTTAGAAATCTTAGTGATGCTAGGCCCAAGATTACTGAAGAGAAGCCATTCATGCAGGAAAGCACAGAAGATCCTGCACATTGTGACGAGGCTCTTTTGGAAGTATTGCGGATCTCCCACAAGGAAAGAAATGTTACTTTACCCGTGTCTCCAGGAAGGTTAAAAACGTACTTCTTTCTTACTTCTCACTTAATACTTTTCATTAAATATATACTCTAGAGCCAGTTTGTTATAATTGTGAAGGTGCCAATCTTGAAACCAGGAGACTGTGAGTTGTAGTCCTACCTTAGTTATGAAAGCCACTGGGTAATACGGTGCCAGTCACTCTCTCAGCCCAATTCACCTCATAGGTGATAGAGAAAATAGAAGCTAGAGGTATAACTATGTTTGCTGCCTTGACTCATTTATAAAAAGGCAGGATATAAATATAATAATCACAATAACAGCAAGAATCATAATAGTTGGATAAGTCACTGTGCAGTGATAAAAAGAAGATAGAAAGAAGTTCAGTCCCATTTTACAGTGTAAGATTGAAGATGTCAAGTCAACATCATTTCATTCTCCCTACAGTCCTCACAGATTGTAAGCAGAAGAAATAAGGGCCTTTGATTCCCCCTTCGGTCATTGTTGTTCTCTGTTGTTTCTTAGATGCAGGACAGAAATCCAGATCAGATTCTTGTATTGCAACATTTAATAAGAAGTTCGTCTCTGATGCTAGCACAGACTAAAGCAAAGCAAATGAACCAATAGAATATTCTGAATTATGGGGGTGCCTTACTTTTTTTTCTATCCCTTTTCTTCAGGAAAGGGCTGTGACTATATCCGTATAGAAAATGGAAGAATGGCTGAACATTTTGAACGGTATAAACCATTTCCAATCAGGGAGGGACAATCAATTCAGTTTTATTGTTCTGAAGGTTTTCTGCCTAAAGACAAGCAAACATGGCAAACAGCAAAGTGCATCAGTTCACGCTATGACCCAGAACCAAAGTGTTTCAGTAAGTAATTCTTCCTCTTTGCGGTAGATATTGCCAAGTACAAACAAAACAGATCAGATGCTGTCCTGACCTTGTTTTAACTTGGAAGAAATAGCATCCTATAGAGCTGTGATGGCGAGCCTATGGCATGTGTGCCCGAGGTGACACGCAGAACCATCTTTACGGGCATGCGAGCTGTCACCCAACTCACCTGCAGCTGCGCATGTGCGTGCCCCCTATCTAGTGTCCAGGCCTTCGGTGCACATGCGTGCAATTCAGGGGACCCACCTCATCTTCGGAACTTCCTGCGCATGTGTGTGTGTTTGCACAAGTGTGAGTACTTGTGTACAGTGTGTGCATGCGCACACACACATGCACAGATGGCGTGATTGCGCACAAAGTGCACGGGGGGAACCGCGTAAAACCTGTGCATATGAGCAGATGGTGTAGTTGCATGCACAGTGCATGGGGACATGCACAAAAGCTCTGTGCATGCGCAGATAGTCCGGTTGCATGCGCAGCACACGGAGGAGCCACGCATTAGGGTGGATAGCACGCACATGTGCAAAGCGCACAAAGCACTTACCTGTTCAGCACTTGATGAGTAAAAGGTTCGCCACCACTGCTATAGCGATTTCAGCCTGTTTGGTTCTTCTGCCTGCTGGGGTGATGCTTCCACTGCTGTCTCTTCTCAAGGGATCCTAAAAGTTGTTTTGGAGCCTACGGTTTGTGTACTAAAACCTTAAATGAGAGAGGTAAAAGCTGAGTCTTTTATAAAATATAAACAGCAAAATAGGGATCTTCCTCATCAGCTTCCTCCTCTCTTCACATCTTGTCTGTGAATTAGATGTCATGCATAGCATGAATAGCCTTCCAAGAACCATAAATGATGAAACCAAGTTGCTCTCTTTTGCTTTTAGAAATGTGTGATCCTTCTAAACGTTTTTATTATGGTCACATCATTTATCAATACTGGAGCAATTACATAGAAGGTGACAACGTTACATTTGATTGTAATATGGGATATTCTCCTGCAAACCAGCAATCATCAATTACTTGCACAAAAAAGGGATGGTCACCTGCTCCAAGATGTAAGCTTTTCCGGCCAGGTAAGCTTTAGGAATGTCTGCTAAAATTGCCTGACCTGAAATTGCTTGTCATGCGCTCTCTCTCTCCCTCTCTCTCTCCCTCCCTCCCTCCCTCCCTCTCTCTCTCTCTCTCTCTCTCTCTCTCTCTGTGTGTGTGTGTGTGTGTGTGTGTTCATATAAGATTCATATTTCCACAGGGAATTGTGCTCTGACTGGGGTAAAGATATGTATAGGTGTTTATGTATATGCACATAGTTGTGCCTATCATTTATTTATTAAACTTACTACTACTAGTAGTAACTTAGTAGTAAACTTACTACTAAACTACTACTTAGATCTATTGAATATTTGCAATAAAAAGCTACTTTTTGATTAGAAGAAAATATTTCAGTTGAAGTTTGTTAACAATTAAAAATTGTTTTCATTATATTTATTATTTTTAAAGAGAGTGTGATGTGTTTTGATGTGCAAAGGGGATTTAACTTTTCTCCAATGAAGATCTGAGGCCCAGCATCAATTGTATACAAATATAAAAACAAATGAATAGATAAATGGCAATTATTAAGGAACAGTAAAATAAAGAAAAGGGTAGTAAACATCAAAATTCCATGATAATACCTTTTAATATATATTTTGCAACTAAAACAATTCACTGCATCTAACACATTTTAAAAACTTAATGTGTGTGTATGTGTGTGAATGATAGTATTTGCATAAAAAGAATTAGGTCTGTGCTTTCACAATTGTATAATGCTACAGAAGTCTTAAAATATGACTGTCCTCTAATTGTGGTCAGTGAAGTTGTATTGTGTCTAAAGGTTGAAATTGTGGCAACTGGAGAAAACTTTGTTAATCTAAGACATTTAGTTGCTAATCTGATATTGTCACCCATTAAACTCCAAAAGATTTGGACCAGAATACAGGACATTCAAAACACAAGTGAGAATTTTCGGCCCATGATGCACATGTAGGAATTCCAATACAGATTCAGATCAGGCCACTAAAATATGGAATACATATAGCTTATATGGCAGTATGATTTATTTTATATAATTAAAGGGCAAATTAGATGCCTTAAGTTTGTATAAGAAAGACAACCATGAATCTGCCTAACCAGATACATTTATTTCCTGCCTCAATCTGCCTATGGATTTTCCAATTTATTGTATACAGCTTTTCTTTGCAGCCTCTTAGCCCATTTATTCATGATTTTGAAAAGAGGCAATCTTTCTCTGGCTCCACTGGTTTCCCAGGTATTTTACAAAGAGTTCACATTTTATAAACAGAAGAATTCACATTTTATATTTCCTTTTAGCAGTTGAACACACTTGTACGAAGATTTCTCTATCCCATGGAAATTTTGGATCGCAGCAACAGAGTTTTCAGATCAATGCTAAAGCAAAATATATTTGTCATGATGGCTATACAACGTCAAAAGGAGAGACTGAGGCAGAGACACAGTGCCTTACAGAGGGCTGGAGCCCAGAGCCAGAATGTATCAATAAGTAAATACAATTCCATTGGAAGATAGGTTGAAACTGACTGGCATAGACAAAGACATGGAATCTTATTCAGTGAAGAATAGCCTGATATCATAACAATTTATTTATTTTATTTATTTATTTTGTCAAGCATGTATTGGATAACAGATATAAGTAGAAACATAATTATGAATACACAAGATAGATACAAATAAAAGGGAACATTAGGACAGGGATGATAGGCATGCTGGTGCGCTTATGCACGCCCCTTACAGAACTCTTAGGAATGGGGTGAGGTCGACAGTAGACAGTCTAAAGTTAAAGTTTTGGAGGCTTGGGGAAGAAACCAGTGTCAGGTAGTGCATTCCAGTTATATAACTAATTGATTTATATTCAAATGTTGAATTTGTATTAAACAACTGTAATATTACATAATTAACCAATGTGAGGATGGATATAAAAATAGATGACAATGGGAAGGGGTATAATATAGAATAGAAGGGAAAAAATTAATTTGATTAAGATTAGAGATGAGGATGAAGGGTAATAGTGGCTTTTTAAAAAAATAGATGAGAAATAAATATGGCAAAAAGGAAATATAGAAATTGTAAATTTAATTGAAATGACTAAAGACTTTTTAAATTTGTGAACCGGCCAAATACTCTGTTCAAAGAAAATACATTGTATGTTTGTATGTGTGTTTCTAATTATTGCTATTTATTCATATTTGTTCTCTTTTATTCTTTAAAGTTTAACAATTCATTCTTTATCTTAATATCTTTATATTTGTTTGGGGTTGGCTTTCTTCCCTTTCATCTTTTTTATTGTACAGCAATCTTTCTTCTCAAACCTACCACCTCTCTCTTTTCTTTCCTTCTTACTTTCTCTTCCCCCCTCTTCTTCTCCTCCCTACTTCCTCTTCCTTTCTCCTTCTCCTCCTCTCTTCCTCCCTCTCTAACCTCACTCCTACTCTAATTTCCCTTCCCTTCCTTCATCCCTCTCTATTGCTCTATCCTTTTATGCATATGGACTACTCAGAGGGCTGAAAAAGTTATTTTTGACTGGTCCTCGCACTTTTGACCAGTCCTCAAATTTACGACTGTCCTCACATTTTACGTTTTTGTCCTATCTTGTCACCATGGTGAAGAGAAGCAGTTGTGAAGTGAGTGACATGGTTGTTAAGAATGCTGCACGGGCATAAATGTGAGGATGGTCATAAGTGTGAGGACCAGTCAAAAGTGCGAGGACCTGTCAGAAATGACTTTTTTCAGCCCTCTGAGTAGTCCCTATACACATAGTCATGGCCACCCAGTCACATGACCTCCAAGCCACGCCCACAAAATAAGCCATGCCCATAGAACCGGTAGTAAAAATATTTAGAACCCACCCCTGCTTAACACCCAAAGACCAGGCCCAACACACATAACAATCCCCAAACACACCCCCATCCACTACAAATTCCCCGCCCCTGAACCACCCAAACATCCAAGTAATGCTGTCAGCTCACTGATGGTGGCCCTTTAGTTCACTGCTGAGTGCAATTGGGATAAAAACTATTCAGAAAATGTGTGGTACGAGTTTTAATTGTTCTATATCTTCTGTCAGAAGGCAACAGTCCAAAATCATGAATAATAATCAGGTCAACCTTATGCAGTCATCAATAGTAGTTTTCACTATTTTGTTTAAAAATGGTGATACTGTCTTTCAAAATCGTCTTGCCCATGTAGTTTGATACATTAAAAATTATTACAGGCTGCATTCTGCTGCAGATCAGATGAGTCGGTTTAAAAAAGAATTACATAAAATGTACAGATGCAAATTTATTTCTTTATTCTTCACATTTTATTTTACAGACCTAAGCAAATGAACAATAGGACACATACCACACCCTTTGAACCAGAAGATGAATATCCGGGTGCCGTCAGCCAAACAATGTTGACTGGCGGCCCCCAGGGGGAGAGCCTTCTCTGTGGGAGCACCTACTATCTGGAATGAGCTCCCCCCGGAGATACGGAGGATCCCGGATCTGCGTACCTTCCATCACGCGCTTAAGACGTTCCTATTTCATCAAGCTGGCCTGACCTAAATTTTCCTCTTTTAAGTGGGAATTTTTAAATTTGGTTTTAAATTATTGGGGTTTTAAAATGGTTCAGCCAAATTTATTTAATTGGTTTTATCTCTATTTTAAATGTTGTATCTATATGTTTTATTTTATGGCTGTTCACCGCCCTGAGTCCTTCGGGAGTAGGGCGGTATACAAATTTAATTAAATAAATAAATAAATAAAAATAAATATCTGGAGTCGTATATTATTTTCTTTCATATGATCCCATTTAGCTGGATTGTATATACACAGTTATAAACAGTAGATCCGAATCTAAAAGTCTATTTTGTAAAAGATAGATTTTACCAACTGTAATTACTGGGAAAATAATAACATTTAAAAATAAACTTATAGACCACCTTTAAGGCAGATAAAATTTTACAGTATAATATTATAAATAACTTTTTAAATATGTATCTGGAGTGAGAAATGAAGAATTTTTTCTATATACTGTAATTTTACCTTTAAACATTTGATTAATCTGAACAATTAATCAGCAGTCCATCTTAAAGCAATGACAATAGATAATTGTAGTTGATATGTTTAGCATATGGATTCTTGAATTCTTCAAACAATAAAAGAAATCCAAAAATGATTTTTATTGACAAACAATTTGTAATATAGTTTGTAAAGAAACAGAGATGCACAGTAAACATTTCAATTCACTATCCAATCAAAGATCGCCAACGATTGCTCCTCCTGGGGTTGCTCTGGAGTTAGCAAAATCAAATTTGATGTTAATAATCAGAGGGGAGGTTCAGCCAAAAGGATTTCTGCCTATTTTAAAATCTAACGTGGGAAACTCACAAATAGATATATGCTTTGTTTTCCTTTTTTGTTTTGTTTTCCTTTTTTTTTTGTTTGGACAGTAAAATATTGTATAAAAATGTATTTATTTAATAAAATTTATATGCTGCCCATCTCACCAGCAAGTGATTCTAGGCAGTTTACAATCAGATAAGCAATATCAAAAATTAAAACAAATGATAAATATTAACAATGCCCCCAGGCCAATCAGCACAGCCACGTTTTAATTATAATACCCTGTTTTCCCGAAAATAAAACCCTGTCTTATAGTTTTTGAACCCCAAAATAAGCGCTTGGCCTTATTTTTGGGGAGGTCTTATTATTTTGGGGTGCATGGAGCAAGATGGGGCTCCTTTTGCCATCTTACTTGATTTCCAGCTCTGCGTTTAAATATTTTTTGGGGGGGGGGTTATTTTCATGGGGAGACTTATTTTAGCATATGCGCTTAAAAGCCTGGTTGGCGTTATTATCAGGGGATGTTTTATTTTTGGGGAAATAGGGTCAGTAAAACAAGATTAAGCTATATCTTAGAAATTGATGCAGGGTTTCCAACTACATACCTTCAAAATCTGTTAGTTGACACAAAATGCGCTAAAATTTGCCGTGATATAAATTTAGACTGATCTATTGAAGTTTTTCTGCACAGAAAGTAGGCATAGGACTGCTTGGTCCATGTTTTTCCAAGCACGGCCAGAGGGCAGGTTTAGATTTTGTAGAGCTGTTACTCTGCAGAGGCACTATTAAATGTCTCTTAGCTACTGGCTGTGGTCCAGCACACGCACTATTATTAGTGCCTCAGCTGGTGGCTGTGAAGTTCTGCAGTTTAAAAACCGCAAGCCTGCTTTTGAGAAATAATATGGCAGCCTCAGATTCCAAAGAAGAGTTTAATGGTTCTGCAAGCCTTTTTACACCATTGGACACACCAACATCTGGCAACTCAAGACATATTTTCATAGAATGCAAGAAAGCCTATTGTCTAGGTTTAAATAAAGAAAATGTTTACTTCAGGCCCATCTGATGCTTACCAAGCTACGAGATGGGGAAAAGATCATCTTTATCTTTCAGCAAAGGACATGCAGCAGGTAAGTAACTGGTTTTTAGTTACTGGTCAGTAAAGCATGGTGGTAGAGATAGCACAATAATAGTTTTATAATTTGCAGTCCCTGAATCAAAACCACATGATGGATTCTACTGGTTCGCACCAGTTTCTAAACAGTTTGGAGAACCAGTTGTTAGAAGAAATCTCCCCCCCCACTTTATAGGGCTAATCCTGTAAGGAATTATAACATTCTGGTATTGTTTTTACTCTAATCTTTATTGCCCTGCTTACAGAAACTACCTCTCCATTAACCTTATTACATTCTTGGCGGTACGCCTATACTTACTGTCACCTCCGGAGCTTCTCCTGAGTTTTTTTTTCTTTGCTTAACTTTCTTAAAGAGAAAGAGTTGTTTTAAGCTTTTTACACTGCTGTTAGGAGGAAATACTCCCCTGTTGGAGTTCTTCCAGCTGGGATGCAATGATCAGCACTTTGAAGAAATAATTGAATAACAAAGCAGAGCTGCCAGAAAGAAGCTTTTAATGACAAGGAACCAGAATGAGTGACATTCAGCAAGGCTTCTTGACTATCTAGAAAGGTTGACATTCAAACGTGACTTTACATACCCTTTCTGACTTTTGGTCTAAAACTGTTTTTTTGGTGAAGTTTAATTCTGTGCTTGGTGATGTTTAATCCTGTGTTTATTGATGGGATAATTTCCTTTGTTTGGAAGGAAAAATGTTAATCTCTGTTCCTGAAAAGAAGCAGCTTCAGAAATCTGGCTAGTTCCGGTGTCTATTTGTTCTGGTAATTGGTTTAACAAGAAACAGCTACTGTGTTTGCTCCTTTGCTTCATTCTGGAGAGCTTAAATGACCTCTTTGCTAAAGGGTTTCACTTTATGAGCAAGAGTTGTCTGCTGATAGTTATTACATTTTAACTATTTTAATTCCTCAAGGTGCTCTGGCACCCTCCCTGATTTGTAACTCCAGTTTGCAGGTATTCCTAATCTAATGATTTGTATTTAGGGATTGGTATTCTTTGCTTTGCAAGCAAAGAAGCTTTTTGTATTTTTGTACAGGTAATCCTTGATTTACAACAGTTCATTTAGTGACCATTCAAAGTTACAATGGCACTGAAAAAAGTGATTTATGACCATTTTTCACACTTACGGCTGTTGCAGCCAACTGTCATTAGGGCAAAGAAGCTATGTAGAGTTGGCTGTCCCACCCGGTCACATGAAGCACTGCAGTTGTGAAATGAGTGACATGGTTGTTAAGAATGCTGCAACAGGCATAAATGACAACCGGTCATAAGTGCACGGACAAGTCAAAAGTATGAGGACCGGTCAGAAATCACTTTTTGCAGCCCTCTGGTAGTCCCTATGTGCATAGGGACTACTCAGAGGGCTGAAAAAGTTATTTTTGACTGGTCCTCGCACTTTTGACCAGTCCTTGCAGTTACAACTGTCCTCACATTTTATATTTTGCACCCTACCTTGTCACCGTGGTAAAGGGAAGCACTGCAGTTGTGAAATGATTGACACGGTTGCTAAGAATGCTGCAATGGGTATAAATGTGAGGATGGTCGTAAGTGCGAGGACCGGTCAAAAATAACTTTTTTCAGCCTTCTGAGTTGTTTCAAGTAGGTTTAATCATCAATAAAAGCGCCTTAACAAGCCATTATTACAGGTATATATCTTTTTATTTTTATTTTTATTTATTTAAGTAATTTATATGCCGCCCTTCTCAGGGCAGCTTACAAGAAGGACTCAGGGCAGCTTACAAGAAGGAACAAAAAAATTACATAAACATCAAAGTCAATTTAAAATTAGTTAAAATTAATTAAAAATTTAATTAATATTATTAAAAATCATCCCTACGGATTCAGCCCATTTGGTGAAAAAGCCACATCTTCAATTCGTGGCAGAAGGAGAGGAGGTCAGGGACTGTCCTGAGTCTGGTGGGCATCCCATTCCAGACGGTTGGCGCTCCCACAGAGAATGCTCTCCCCCTTGGGAGCCAACATTTTCTGGCTGACGGCACCCTGAGGCGGCCCGCTCTGTGTGAGCGCGCTGGATGATGGGAGGATGGCAGGAGATGATCCTGCAGGTACCCCGGGCCTAAGCCATGTAGGGCTTTATAGGTGAGCACCAGCACCTTGAAACGAACCCAAAGAACTACCGGTAGCCAGTGCAGCTTGCGCAGGAGAGGTGTCACACGGGAGTACCGAGAAGCCCCTGTAACAATCTGTGTGGCCGCATTCTGGACTAACTGTAGTCTCCGGGTGCATCCCAAGGGCAGCCCCATGTAGAGGGCATTACAGTAGTCCAACCGAGATGTAACAAGGGCATGAGTGACATGATGGCAAAGGCATCCCGATCTAGGAAAGGGCGCAACTGGTGCACCAGGCGTACCTGTGCGAAGGCTCCCCTGGTCACGGCCGTCAAATGATCTTCTAAAGATAGCCGTGAATCCAGGAGGACCCCCAGATTGCGGACCCTTTCTGAGGGAGTAAGGACCTCCCTCCCATCACAAGTGACGGGGCCACTAGATCATGAGATGCCGGTATCCACAGCCACTCAGTCATGGATGGGTTGAGTCTGAGTCTGTTTCTTCCCATCCAGGCCCATACCGCTTCCAGGCAGCGGTACATCACAGAAAGGGCATCCCCAGAGTGATCCAGGGTGGAGATATAAAGCTGAGTGTTGTCAGCATATTGGTGGTACCTCACCCCGAAACCACGAATGATCTCACCCAGTGGCTTCATATAGATGTTAAAGAGCAGGGGGGAGAGAACCGACCCCTGAGGCACCCCACATGTGAGGGGCCTCGGGGTGGATCTCTCTCCCCTGTCCATACAAACTGCAAGCGGCCCGAGAGGTAGGAGGAGAATCACCATAAAATGGTGCCTCCTATCCCCAACCCCCCGAATCGCTGCACTAGGATACCATGGTCGATGGTATCAAAATCCGCTGAGAGATCAAGAAGGACCAGGATGGAGGAGCAACCCCTATCCCTGGCCTGCCAGAGATCATTCACTAGGGTGACCAATGCTGTTTCCGTGCTATAACCGCGCCTGAAACCCGATTGGTATGGGTCTAGGAAGTCAGTTTCCTCCAGGAACTGCAGGAACTGCTGTGCCACCACGGACTCAACAACCTTCGCTATAAAGCGAAGGTTGGAGATTGGACAAAAATTGTTAAGGGAGTCTGGATCAAGGGTGGACTTCTTGAGGAGGGGACGAACCACTGCCTCTTTAAGTGTGGTGGGGAAGACCCCTTCCCTCAGAGAAGCGTTGACAACCGCTTGAATCCAGCCTCCAGTCACTCTCTGGCTGCAGAAACAAGCCAGGAGGGACAAGGGTCCAATAAACATGTGGAAGCACCCAGTCAACCCATGATCCTGTCCACTTCATCCATCAAAACAGGCTCAAACCCAACCCAGATGTTACCATCAGGACAGGCCCCTGTCACCTCACCAGACTCTGCCCAGTCAGAGTCCAACCCAGTTCGAATCTGAGCGATTTTATCTTGCAGGAACTGTACAAAATTCTCAGCTCTGCCTGCAAGGGGTCCTCCCTCGCTCCATGATTGAGAAGAGAGTGAGTCACTTTAAACAGAGCAGCTGGGTGGTTTTCTGCAGATGGAATGAGAGCGGCAAAATATTGGCGTTTTGCCGCTTCCATTGCCACAAGATAAGACCTAATATGGGTTCTTAACTGTGTTCGGTCAGATTTGGATTGGGAGGAT